CTGGGCCTGCTTTTCTATATGGGTTCTGGTGCTTGGAAGCAGGTCTTCATGATTGTGTAGCAAGAACTTTACTGACTGAGCCAGTTCTCTAGCCCCTATACACATCCATATATAACTTATTACATGCCAGCACATAGAACTTAATAATAGCAAGTTAGTGATGCAGCCTGAAGAATTCCATAGAGCCCATGAAAGAGACACAGCTGTTACAAGGGCAAAGGACTCAATGTGACCCTCTACACCTGGAAATGACTCTTATACCACACTAGAGGGAGAGAGAGGATTGTGATGGTCAGTAGTGATTGCCAGGTTGACAAAGTCTAGCACTATATAGGAGACAAATTTCTGGCACATCTATGAGGGAGATTCTAGATTGGTTTACTCAAGGAAGGAAGATCCACACTGAATGTGGGTGGTACCATCCCATGGATGGGGTCCCAGACATTAAAAACAAAACAAAACAAAACAAAACACTAAAGCATTCATTACTTTCTGCTTCTTGACTAGAGATCCAATGTGATCCACTGCCACACGCTCCTACCACTGTGCCTTCCCCACCATGGTGGATGGTGCCTTCAAGCTGGGAGCTAAAACAAAACCCTCTTTCCTTAAGTTGCTTTGGTCAGGCATTTTGTCACAGCCATAGGAAAGGTGACTGTAACCCAGGAGCCCCATTTAATATGGACCAGACTTGTGCTTCCCAACCCTACCAGCATGTCCTGCTTATTTTCCTATCAAACATTGTTCAGAAACTTTCAAAAACAAAAGTTCCTTAAATCCCATGGCCAAGCATCACCGGAGGCTGTCACCATCCCTTTCTACACTGTCAAGAATCTCCATAGAAGCTTTTTTTCTCCTGTTCTTATCGCATACCTTTCTGACCTCTATCAAGATCTCTGACTGCCTATGTTAAATAATGAGACAGAAATGAATCCCCCAGTGATTATGGAAGATGCCAGATGGTTTCACAGCCTTCTAGTCGTAACTTGTCTGAGCTGCCTTTCTGAGCTCCTGCTACTCCCTGATAGCTCTAAGATATACACTTGCTCTGACCACCCTGGACATTTTGCTCTGGAATGGTAAGCAAGCCTAATTGCATGGCCTTTGCCCTGGTTGTCTGCTCAACTTGATGAACTTTCAGCTGCAAAATCATCTGGTCTGATGATTGGTTTCAACTGTCAACTTGTTACAATTTAGACTCTGTTGGGAGAAAGTCTCAGTTGATTGTCTTTATCAGGGCGCCCTATGGGCATGTTTGTGGGGGCTGTTTGACCAAGCCCATTGTGGGTAGTGCCACTACCTGATCAGAGGATCCTGACCTACACAGGACTGAAGCAAGCTGGATGAGAGCAAGAGGGCAGTATGTATCAATTATATCCTTCTTGTCCTTGACAATGGATTGATGTGACTGGATGCTTGAGTTCCTGCCTTGGTATCTTCCAAGTGAAGGATTGTAGTTTAGAACCAGAAACAGAATAGACTATCTCTATACCTAGGTTGATTTTTGTTGGCTGTTTTTAATACAGCAACACAAATGAAACACTTGGTTCATTCCCTGATTAGATTTGAGTGTCTTTACAGTGTCACCGTAGTCCTGAAAGTGTCTCTGAGCATGGAAACTAAAGCTGCATGGCACCTTAGAGTCCCTCTCCCCTGCTGTTATTATCATTAGTTAGAAATGCTGTAACTCTATCTTTCAAATTTATTTTTTATTGCATTTTAACTTTTACTCTGCATGCATGCATATGTATATATGTACTGGTATGCATGTGCCATGGCAGGCATGTGGAGCTCAGAGGGCATATTTGGGGAGGTGATTCACTCCTACCACATAGGCTCCTGGAATCAAATTCAAATGATCAGGTTTGATGCAAGCACCTTTGTTCACTAAGTTATCTTGTTGGCTCCAGTCCAATTTTATATACAGGTCTATCCTATGCTTTTTCATCTGTATGATTTGGAGTATGCTCTCCATTAGTATGGAAATTCGTCTGCAGGTGGCTCATTCTGACCCCAGGAGTTAGATGCTTTCCCAGAATGTGACAGCATCTCCATAACTACAAAGACCTGAAAGAATTCCAGCCATTAAGCAACTTGATTTTCAGCCTCCATTCTCACATAAGACCCATATTGTTCTGCTGCTGTCACTAGTTTACCCCAGAAATGTTCTTGTGACTCACAGAGGTGGGGGGTTTTCTCTGAAGGAAAAAGCATCCCCTCCATACTTTACATTCCTGCAGACTCCAAACTAAGGGAGGTTCTTGATGTTGTATGTTAACAGATGCTTCAAGTAGGCTAGGTAGATGCAACAGTTAGCCCTATACCCTGCTGTTAAAGGGGCAGCCCCATCCAGAGGAAAAGCGACCAAGTACAAAAATTGTTTTTCCCACATAGACTCTCATAGACCACAAATGTGAATGGGCAACTACCCTATGCAGCTAGCAAATGCAGAATCAACTAGAGAATATTCTCTGCAAAATATGCCCCCTTTGCCTTGGTGAGCTCAAGCAACAGATCATGACTTGATTCTGCTGGTGCTGATCATCTTACCATTACTAAGCCACAGACAGACTGCCTGCTCATATCTCCCACAATTTGCAACCATACCCAAAACCCATCCATCCTTTTCAGTATTTTTATAAAATCCAGCAAGCCTTCCAAAGCCATCCAAAGATTTGAAGGATACTGATTTTTTTAATTCAGTGTAGGTGATCAAACCCAGGGGTTTATTCCTACCAGGTATGTTTTCTACCAACAAGCTCATCCTCAGCCTAGCTCATTGATACTTTTCTCCTCTTAAGAAAAAGGAAAAGGCTTGTTATTGAACTGTAGTTGTTGATAGATACCAGGATGCAATAGGCCTGCCCTTTATGGTACCACTTTGGTAAGCAAGTGGGGGTTCAGACAGGTGGGCTGTGTAGGATGTGCATGCACTGGGATTTTGCAGCTTTCAAGGGAAGATCTCCTAGAAGGCATTAATTTCATTGCAGTTCTGAGTTTTCCTTTTGACTCTGTATGGGAAATAGGCTAGCTGCAAGGGATCTGATTGATATGGGTATCTTTTTTTCCTCCTTGATTCAAAACTTCCAGTTCAAATGAGATCTTACGAAGCACACAACACATTATTAATCTGGCCATCTGAGGAACAGTGGTATCTTTGAAGTGTTATCCATAACAATTCATTAAGAATTTACTGAGCAGTCCTCCTAGAGAAGACAGGAATGGGGGAGAACTAGGCTGTTCTCATGCAAGCATTATATGTTACTTCTTTATAGAATGTTGTTTGAGGACCACTTGCTAACATAAGAGGGGTTGCTAGATCATGGGATGGGATCGATATCTACCTCTGACATCACAAGTCTCCTGTTTTTTAATGTATGGTGTCAAAATATAGCCTGAGACACACTGAACACATGTGAAGTTTAACAGGGAAGACAAGTGAGTCTGTGGCAGACATCCATCCACAGATAACACTCGCTCACACACTAAACTACCATTCCTCCCAACTCCATTCTCTCCCATCCCATCTCCTTTTCGTTGCTCCAATCTGGAAATGTTAAGTTATCCCAGTGTCCCAGAAAACTATTTCTCACCCTGTCACTCTCAGACATGCAATTAACAGGCCATCTTCCACTGTGAGGCATTAGTGTGGTGTGAGCTTTGGCAGCACTTCTAACTGGGAGAAGCAGAGCTATGTGAGCATAGAGATAAGGGGAGGAGAGAGCAAGGGCATTAGTAGAGAAGCTTTATGTAAATGGCATAAGCAGTTGCTTTAGGAATCTAGCTCCTGTAACTCTTGGAATAAAACCTCAACCCCATTAAAAAGGCAGAGAATGCCTGTATAAATGAACCACATGCAGAGACCTGTGTGGCCCTGCCAGAAGCATGGTCCTAGTTCTGCCCTCCTTTTTATTCATTTTCTCCAAAGACTCTGAACAGGGCCTGAAACATTCTTAGTAATTGTCACCTTTGTTTACTACTCCACTGACAAAAAGTGACTGGCATCAGATGTACTTTCTGTACATATGGCTGGATGGTATGTTTGCTTTCAAATATCATTGGACATGCTTGGTTATGGCTGTTACATCCACTTTCCTTGGTCAAAAGCATCCCATTGGCAAGATTACCTAGTGATCATCTGAGGTAGTTTAGACTTTAGCCCTCCCCACACACATACAACAAAAGAAAAAGAGAAAAAAAGGAGAGAAAGAGAGAGACAGAGACAGACAGACAGACAGACAGACAGACAGAATATCTAATAGTCATTGGGGAATATTTTAGTATTTCATCCAGTAATTCCAAATTTAATTGTTCTGAACCACACCAAAGAAAAGTGAGAGGGATTATGTTGATGGACATATCATGTAACTAGGTAATTTCTATTCACCAATTTCCTGGATTTGCTAGCAAAATAAGCCTTCCTTTCCTTAAGACCTGAAATTTGAGAAGATGTGTTGAAGGAAAGGAAACAGAGGATCTTTAGCTAATGAAAGGAAGATCCCCTTCTTATAAGACAGACATAATCATATTTCTTAATGTCACTGGCTTTGTGGATGCAGTCTCTTATGGCCAGTAATAGTCTATAAAGATCCCAAATAATTCCCAATTCAACCTCTCTAAACATAAATACAGTATGTCAAAAGCACAGGGTCATGTCATGTCATGTCCCTAAGCTACCTTGGTCAGTATTTTACAACAAGAACACTGATTATTCCATGAATTTTGTTGTGAATTTGTTCACCACAAGTGTTAGCCTTCTGAACCAGGTACTATTAAAACCAGAAATATAAACATCAGAGTTAGCAAAATGTCTCATTATTTTCCACATGGTAGATCCTAAAAGCTTCAGCTACACTCAAAAGTATATGGTCTCTTTCTCTCTTTATAAAAAAAACTAGACTTACTCAAGTGACTAACTGCTGCATGTGATGAAGATAAAAAGAAAAAAAAAGGATACTGGGACTCAGATGGGAGCATCAGGAAGTAGGAATGTCTGTTACCTGCAGAGGTGTTACAAGAAATTTCATCTGTTGCAACGAAGACGAACTGATTTCTGGAAGAGAAGATAAAATTCACAATACTGCTCGCTCAGGGGGAAACGTGCTCTCTGGCAATTGGTTCCATGTGCACGGGTGAAGGGTGGGGAGGGGGCTGAGTCTGCATGGGTGTGGCAAGGAAATGTGCTGATGGACCGTGGACTTGGAAAGCTTGGAAAGATCACAAAACAGGCATGCGGGACCACTTAAATGAAATCATGAGGGCATCAGGATGTGGGCGTGTACAAGCTATTATTGTGCCAGGGTATTAATACTGCGTGTTACCAAAACATGCCAGGGAATATAGCTAAGGCCAAGCTATTTCCAGTTGTGTATACATAGGTTTTTAAGCTAAATATATAGTACAACTTTTTTTTAAAAAAAAATAAAGACTGATTAGGAAAAGAATGTACCAGGACTAACTAGAAATATCATAAAACTCCATATATTATGATACACTATTCAAAACTTCTTTTAAAAGGAAAGAAAAATACTCTTACTGCAGAAGAGAACATTCTATGGAATCAGGTTATGGATAATAATTTCTTTATCAAACTAAGCTTGCTATATGAAGAAAAAAATCTCATCAACTGAAACAATAACTACCTTTCAAAATTATTCTTTTTTTTTGGGGGGGTCATGTGAATGCCATAATGCACATGTGGTGGTCAGAGAACAACCTTGGTATTGGTCTTTGCCCTCCATCTTATTTGAGACAGCATCTCCTGTTACTTCCAACTGTGTACACCCGACTATTGGCCTGTAAGCTTCCAAGGATTTTTCTCCTCTCTGCCTTCCATTGCATTGTAGGAGTGTTGTAACTATAGACATACACTACTGTGTCTGGCTTTAAGTGAGTCCTTGAGGGTCCTTACAATTGCACAGCAAATGCTCTACCCAGTGAGCCATTTCCTCACTTCTCTCAGTTTATTTTGTAATGAGGTATATTGGAAAGAATATTTTAAAAAATGAAAAATGCTATTTTGCTTTGATATACTAAATCCAGCCAATGATGTAAGGTGTTTGAATCAGAGGTACTGCTGATTTCCCTAGGAATATGAATATCTATACCCTGCCAATTGGAATGGCTTGTTGAGATTGGCTAGGGTCTTAAATGCCTTAAAAACCCCAGAGAGGTGCTGGGTTCTCATTTGTTAGATTTTTACTGTGCATAGGGATCAAGAACCCAGATAAATGCATTTCTGGGGGAGTCTTAGTATGATTGCCTTTGTTCCAGTGTTTCAAAAACATCCAGCAACTGAACATTTCATAAAACAGCTTAGGAGAGTTTTACTGTCACAAGAGGTGCACCTTTGAATATAAACAGAGATACCTCTCAAATATTCCTTGGAACTTAATGTTCGGTTGAAAATTCTAGTTGCTTCTAAACCAATAAAATTCTAACAAAATTATACACTCTCTGAGAATACTGTCTTCTATAAATCAAAAGTCAAAACCAAGTTCATTTGTCGCCTATCTTAAAACAATAAAAGTTTTGTTGAATCTTTGCTACATTTTTATTATGCCCCAAACTTTTTGAAACTTAGAAACTATTGAATTTTTATTCCCTAGGTTTAAGGAGCAATACAATTGATATATCTGAAAATGAAAGAGATATGTGGTGAGGAATTTGATTTGTCTTACATAAGGGGTAGTGAGATGTGGCATGCCTAACCTGCAGGAAGTGTACACCCAGCAAGCCTCAGACAAAGACTCAGAAGGATCTGTTCACAAGGTGCCTATAACAAGAGCTCAGCCATAAGTGAACATGGCAGCCTTGTAGAGTCTCAGGGTGCAGGTGGGCCCTTAGAAGGGACATTTCCATATGCATGGTGTGTGTGTGTGTGTGTGTGTGTGTGTGTGTGTGTGTGTGTGTGTGTGTGTGTGTTGTTTAAACAGCTCTGCCTGACTCTACTCCCCAGTTCTATAAGACTCTGCAAACATGTATGTTGCTTCTGCATGGCTCCTTTCTACAGATTAGTCTATATAGCCAATGGAGACCTTGACTGATCCTCCTGCCTCCACATCTGTCATGTTACAATTATAGGCATGTGCCCCGACCCTTAGTTTTACCTGGTACTAGGGATTCAACCCAGGGTTTCATGTATGGTAGGCAAGCATTCTGACAATTGAGGTACAAGGCCAATTCCCAGATTGCTAGATATGGTGAGCAGGGCTGATTGTAGGCAACCCATACAGATGTTAAAGGTTATTGAATAAGTAGAAAAACTGGCAAAATTAAACCCACAGATTTATAAATTTATAAATTAATTCGATCTTAAGTTTTCCAGAATTTTATGTAATATGATGTTGCCTTTAAGAGTGATCTTTTGGACACCATGATCTTAACTCTTAAAATGTTATATTTTTTCTCCTGCTCTTCTCTATTTCCTTCTTTCTCTCTCACCTTTTCCTCCTTTCCTTCTTTCTTCCTTCCTGCTTTATTTTTACTCTTTTTCTTCTTCCTTCTCTCCTACCATCCACCATTCCTTCTGGTAACTCCTTCCCTTGGATTTTCTCTTCTCATTGGGTCTTTTTTACTGCTTGTTTGTTTGGAGGTGGGGCTGTTACTTTATCACAAATCTGGTCTTAGGGTACTAGGCTCTATAGATGTTCTTTCCTAAGGCTTCTGAGTAACTGGGCCTGTCCCACATCATTTTTACAATTCTTGAGGATGTTTTTGTGAACAAAGGAGATCACATCTGTTCCAAAAACTTACTTCCTATAAAGAATTGGCTTAACTGGTTCTGTTAAGTAATATCAAATCTCAAAGGTCTAAGGATCATTTCCAGTAGTGGCAGAGACAAGGAAATGGCACACATGGCTCTAGTACCAGAGGGACTTACAAAAGGCTTTTCAAAATTGATGGCTAATTTAAGCATGAATACTGTGCTATTCTCCTTTATTTTCAAATACCCATAACCATTGCCATTCCTGTCCAGAAAAATCCCCATAAAATGTCAGCAAAGTGCTTTTCCACAGAGCTCATTAAATATGAGTCTGTGTTGCTACCAGCCTTCTAAGCATTTGCTTTCATTGCTGATTATGAGTAAGATCAATGGAAAATTGTGTCAAAGAGTCTCAAAGTGGGGTGGGGGGGTTCAGTGTGATGGCCAATAGAGCAATGGTACTGGACTTCTCAAGGGCCACATTAGTGTCCATCACCCTATGCTGTGCATTTTATGGATATTTCTGTTCTGTTTACCCTGAAGGACAATTCAAGACAAATGTTCTATTTAGATGCATGTAAATAGGCCACATGTTGATTGTTCTATGAAGCCATTTATCCCAAATGACCAGAGAGAGACAAACAAGAATGAAAATTGTAGCTGAAAAGAATGCTGTCTGCAAACAAGCTCAGAAAGAATCAAATGATCTGAGGGAGCAGTGTAGATGTGGAGCCACCTCTCATGCTAAGAAGGGAGGCTGGTACTTATGCTAAGCATCAGATGTTTTCTATACTCCATAGAGACTCATGCATTTACATGTCATCTTACACCTCATTTTAAACAAACTGGTCTGTACCTTGGTTGTAGATGACAGTGTCTGGCTGAGTCATTCTCAATCTTGATTAAACATGGTGTTTACCTGGGGAACTTCTGATATTCCTGGCAAACAAGTTACACCCAAGACCCCCTGAATGAGCATGGGTTGCTTCTATTCTCCTGGTCATTTTCAAGTGCACTAGAGTTTGAGTGCTGCTTGTCTGGTTGAATGGTTTGTAGCTTGAATGAGCAACAGACTCACAGGCAGAGCTCAGGGGTGTGCTACCAGCTGGGTCTCCTCTGCTCTAGATTCTGGTTTAGGTAATATGGGTCAGAGTCCAATGGACACTCTGAAGGTGATTATACTATGTTAATTGCCAACACTGAATTAGTAAACTTTTAATTCCATATGCTAAGAGCTGTGCTTCTTGAGACTTCAAACTCTATCAAATATGAATTGAGCACTTGCCTTCAATATGAGCCTGCTAAATGCCTACATATTTATTTCATTTTTCTTATAATCCCTCTTATGGTTACCCCAACAAAAGATGAGTAAACTGATGCAGGCCATTTGAGAAAAAACACTAAGTGGAGAAAAGGGAAGATGAGAACAGTTATCTGGAATCCAGCCCCTTACCCCCACTTCCTCTGTGATTCTGCTCAGGGGACATCATATGGAGGATGTTCTATCACTAGTAGTAGTGTGCCTCTCTAGGGAAATTTCCTATTATATTGCTTTGAATCTTTAGTTTCTTTGAGACAAAATGATAGATATTTGAATTCCTCTTTGCATATGATATAACTGAAGCTCGAGAGAGATGATTACAAGTATATTCAGCTTCCCATGATATAGAAGTGACATACTTCACTTATTTATCCACAGACTTCCTTCCATTTTAAGATGGTTTCCATAGATCAACCATTCAGAGTCCATCTGACTCAGCTGGTGGCGCATTTAAATTAGTCTTGTGGCTTACCATATATCATCTTCATTTCTCACTTCCCCACCTCCAGGTTAAATCTCATCTATCTGCAATTTTCTTCCAAAAATAATTACCCACTGAATTCTAAGTGTCAAGTGAAAAGAGTGACCTGCTAGTATTTCTCAAGGGGATGTGAGAAGCCTCACAGAGGTCAAAGGGCAGGCTTTGTCATGAGCAAGTGAGGCCCAGCTATAACTGTCCCTTCTCAAAGAGCGCCAGTGTTAAGTTTTAAGTTTTATTGTCACAGGCTCTATTGTCTCCTCACTCTTTGGCTTTTCAATTCTATATTGTTATTGTTAAAAACTCCAGATCTGTGTTCCTTATAGTGAGTCTTTGTGAATCCAATGCTGTACATTTCAAACCTAACACAACACATGCATATCTAAAACCCTGTAAGATGCTGACTACAAAACCCCCTACAGCCTGAGACTTGGTCTCTTGACCTGGAAGGTGACAGCAGGGATCCCCCAACATAGTAATTGGATGAAGTCAATTTGATTCTACCTGCAGGTTCTGGGGACTCTATTAATTATATGTCCCAGAGGGCCC